GGTATGAAGTCAAGTATATATTGGTGACACAACGAATTATCGGTATAAATATGCTATCCTCTTGGCCGGCTTGGTATGCTCCAGCCAATCAGACGATGTCACATCAGTTCCACGAGATAACGAGAGCTGGAGTGTATCAACCCAAAAACATGTTTCATTCTTACTTCTCATCAAATAAAAGCTCGTCCGAGACGGCGACGTCGAGTAGCAGAACTCCAATTATATGAACCCAGCTCGCCTGACGAACCAAGCCAGCCCACCAGCAAACGCCGTGCACCCCGAGAAGATGATGATCGAGCCGTACTCACTCCCGTAAGCCGAGATACCAGCTCCATGCATAGACTTGCTTTCGTCCAGCAAAGTCTCACTCAGCGGGCCCGAGATGACGGATCCCACGCCTCGCCCCAGCGCAAGCAAGCCAAAGACGACATTGGCGTCGGTGTTCTCATGTTTTCGTTGCAGTTCGCGAATGACGCCGCCCCAGCTGGTTGAGTACGCAGCTGCTGTGAGGCCGTATAGGAGGCTGAAGACGAACAGTGGCGCAACAGATGTTGAGAAACCGAGAACGACGAAGACTGCAATGCAAGCGAAGAGACCTTGCCCGAGCAACACCAAAGTCACGTCGAAGCGGTCGACAAGAGCTCCAACGCCGATGCAGCCGAACATTCCGGCGAGGTTCACGCAGAGGACGGTCAGTGATCCCTGTGTTCTTCCGAGACCCAGGCTCTCTGCGATGGTGGGGAGGTAATTTGTCGGGAGGAAGTAGCCCAGAGCCTGGATTGTGTTGAAGGTCTGCAATGTCCAGAAGAATGGCGATTTCAAGAAGGCGAGATCCACGGGCGGCGAAATGTGAGTGTTCGAAATCGGCAGGCGTGGCTTCATCAGGACAAGAATGGGCGATGCCAGGATCAGGATGATCATGGCGACAATACGAAGAGTCTACATTATCGCGGTCAGTGTGAGAAAAGGTGGAGGTGCGCTGCAGCATATGCCCAGGTCTGTACTCACCCATCGGAAGCCCACTTCATTCAGCACAGCCTGCAAGATCAGAGGCATCACCACACCTCCCGCGAAGTCACCTGAGATGGCCACCCCGATCGCTAGCCCTCGTTTCTGCAAGAACCACTCATTGATGAGGTTGATGGTAGGCATGACCAACGCATTACCAGCAATACCATAGATAACACCCTGGCATACAATGAGCTGCGCCACCGTGTTCGAAAATGACGCCCCAACCAGGGACGCAGCAATAGCCGGGACGCTGATCCAGAGAGACCAGCGCCGTGCCTTGGGCCATCTTTGAAATCCCCAGAGGTAGAGTGGCATGGTAAGGTACATGGCTCCCGTTGACGTGGTGCCGATGGCTGCGATGCCGCCTTGCGAGGCAAAAGGCTCGTGGGAAGCGTAGTATTCTTGCAGGATACCGAAGGATAGCGCGAATCCCCAAATCAAAGCATTACTGAGAAAGGCTCCTGCTAGAGCTACCCATGCGTAGAATCCTTGATCCGTCGGAGGGAGGGCGTACTGTGCGCGGGAACTCTGAGTCTCGAGTGGTACTCCATCGTCGCTTCCGGCACTTCCAGGTGTGTTTGAGACCAGGCTGTTGCGGTTGGATAGTTCCATTGCGATCGATGGTCGGTGGGAGTGAAGAGTGATGGATCTGGAGCCAAAGAACAGAATCTTTGAGGCTTCCTACATATTTAACCAAGCACATCCAGCGCCCGATAGTCGGATTAGTCATTCAGAAAACTACACATTTGCGCCCTGCGTGTCTTCCTATCGTCAGCAGTCCGTTTCTAGCCGGCATTGAGGTCACGGCGTAGCCTTCTGGTTTGAGTGATCCGGAGTTGACAATCGGAGTTGGCAGCGAAAAGAGGGGTGGATTGCTCGTGGAGAACTTCCTTTTTTAAGATGCGCCCAGGATTGGGAAGGACGGCAGGCTGGTTACAGATCTCCACTGGAACCTTGACTACTGTTGTGGCCCAGTGACATGTTGCTCTGTAATCAGTGTTGTTGTACATTCATCTGATCATATTAGTCATTTTACCTATTGTACAGCGATAGGTTGAAACCCATTTTCTTGAGCCGCTGCATATCTTCAAGTGACCCGAAGCAACCACGTTACATATGCGCTGACTCCAGGCCGGTCGAAGGTTAGGTATGATAGTCGAAATTATCATGGGTATGTACAATATTGTGTATAGGTATGTAGTGGTAGGCATCGTGGACAAAGAAAAGGAGGCCGAACAATACTTACATATAGCTCGGCGAGTAAGCTTACTGTATGCCGATGCTCAGGGCAAGGGTTCAGGCGATGTGTTTCGTGAAAGTTGTCTACTACAACTGAGACACGAGTCCCGCTCTTATACGTCCCTCCTTAATAATACTGCCCTCCTTACCTTCCCAATGTCCTCCCGATAACTTCGCTTTGTCGACAAGAGACATACCGTGCCGAGCGCATCTCCTCGATTCCTCCTGGCCAACGCGCCCAACCAATTCGGCATCTGGACGCAATCATGAACGGCCACAACGGCTTCGGCGACTCTGGCATCAGCGAGGACAATTTTGGCGAGAGTGGCGCATTCAAAGCGGTAAAAGCATTTGACGCATTCCCCAAAACGAAGCCCTCCTACACCGAACAAACCAACTCCGGCGGCATCTGGACCATCGTACTCGTGCTCGCGAGCATATGGCTGGGAGCGACTGAGCTAGGGCGATGGTGGATAGGAGAGACGACACATACCTTCAGCGTGGAGCAAGGAATAGGACATGATTTGCAGATCAATTTGGATGTCGTTGTTCACATGCGCTGCGAGGACCTTCATGTCAATGTGCAAGATGCGAGTGGTGACAGGATCTTGGCCGGCTCAACTCTGAACAAGGATCCTACTACCTGGGTCCAATGGGGAAACGATCGCAAGCTGCACACTCTTGGAAAGTCAAAAGATGAGAGATTAGACCTCAGTGGTTACCCGGGCTTCGGAGAATACAAGGAGGAAGACGTACACAACTATCTCGGCGCGGCCAAGGCAACGAAGAAGTATCCGAAGACTCCCAAGGTTCCCAGACACGCCAACCCTGACAGTTGCCGTATCTACGGCAGCATGGAGGGCAACAAGGTCCAGGGTGACTTTCACATTACGGCAAGAGGCCATGGTTACATGGAGATGGGCCAGCATCTTGATCACAGCGGTATGCACTTCGAACCTTGTCCAACATGACTTCCACTATACTAACGCATCGACGTAGCTTTCAACTTCTCCCACCACGTCAACGAGCTCTCGTTCGGTCCTTTCTACCCGTCGCTGGTCAACCCTCTGGACAACACCGTCGCGACTAGCGAAAATCACTTCCAGAAATTCCAGTACTACCTCTCGGTGGTCCCCACAGTCTACACGACCGACCCCAAGTCTCTCAAGAAATTCACCGACAAATACC